ATTGACTTTGCTTGTCAGAAGTTCTCAAAAGGTGATCAAGTGACTCTGGGACATTCCAACCATCATAAATATGATTCAATTGCCATTTTGATGAGTCAATTGAATTTTGATCCCATAACCACCCACGGGATGATGATGCAACGGTCATAAGTGTGAAAAATGGTCATAAGTCACTTTTTTCAGTGCCATTGTAACTTTGAACGGTCACTTAACTATTGTAAGTGGAGGACTACCTATATTCTGGTAACTGTGACTGGCATCTTCAGAGCCAAGTTGGTCTGTTCTGTCATCTAATTCAGTCCCTGCTCAGTTGCCTGTGGTTTGTTCCCCAACATTGCCCAACAGATGCTGAATATGAAAGCCTATACCAGCATAGGTTACATAATGTTGGAAAAGGAATATGTGTATTTCGGCACTGATTTCTCAGTAAATATATTCAGATGTGGCCTTACTATTGCTTTGATCTTTGATCTATTAGGAAATCTTTAATGGGGAGATTGTTTATTTGATAGGATGAAATATTCATGTGTTCTAGTTCCACATTTAGAAATGATCACTTTTATTCCCAGGCAAAGAATTTCATCATAGAAATATTCATTGTGCAATACTAATGATAAGTCTGAATGATGGACATTTTTCCTCCTAACCCTAACCAGGGGTCAGCAATCGTGGCTCTGGAGCCGTTTGTGGCTCTTTCACCCCCCTGCTGTGGCTCCCTGTCACTCAAAATATGTGTCACAACTACTGGCACGTGATTTATTGAGCTTTTCGACCCCTTGGAGAAATCCAAGAAAAGAAAAGTTTCAGAAAGCAGAATGTTTAATGTACATGGGCAAATTCATTTGCTTTCACTGCTGATAAGACTGGTTTACCAGTATGCTTAATATGTGGTGAGAAATTGGATATATGCCATGTTATCTTTAATTTTAAATGTCAAAAGGGGTCCAGATAGCGACTGAGCGGGATGATGGGTCGATTAGTTGCAGCAGGAGGGTCGCAAAAGGAAATTTAACCGGGGAGCAGGGGGATGACAGGAAGGGCTGCGAAATTGAAATAATGAGTGGGAGGGGCAGGTATGACGGACGCAGGGGGTCATATCAAGTGTCGGGGGTGTGCATACGCTGTTTACGAGTGATTGCGCACTCCGGCCCCCAATGCGTGACTCGTGTCCTGGGTTGTGTAGAGTCTCAGGCCCAGGGTCCGCGGCTGATGTTGTGTAATGCCAGGTCGGTGGTTAATAAAGCCCCCCTCATTTGTGATCTTATTTTGGAGGGGGGTGCGGACCTGGCAGGTATTACGGAGACCTGGTTGGGCCAGGAGGCGGGGTCCCCCTCGTTGAGATGTGCCCGCCAGGTTTCCGTGCATTTTATCAGCCAAGGGCCCAGGGGAGGGGTGGGGGAGTGGCGGTGATTATTAGGGAAAGTCTTTGTCCGAGGGAGACCACTGTTCCTCAGATAGCCGGATGTGAGTCCCTTTGTGTGAAGTGGGGCCGTGGGGTGCAGATGGGTTTGCTGACTACGTACCTGGCTCCCTGCCACGTGGCAGCGACCCTGCCCGAGCTACTCGACGTCATTGCCGGGGTGGCAGTTGATACCCCCAGACTTATCGTCATGGGGGATTTCAACCTTCCATCCGCGGGTGAGGCGTCAGAGGCAGCTCGGGAGTTCATGGCTTCCATGACGGCCATGGACCTGACCCAGTTAGTTCAAGGCCCAACTCACATAGGGACACACACTCTGGACCTGATTTTTGTCTCTGGTCAGTGGTTGAATGATCTTGGTAGAGGGGACCTAGATATTAAACCCTTGTCATGGACAGATCATTCGCTCCTCCAACTAGACTTTCCTACCGCCTTTCCCCGCTGCAGGGAGACAGAGCCAACTAGATGGTTCCGTCCCAGGCGCCTGATGGACCTCGAAAGGTTCCTGACGGAGCTTGGGCCATTCTCTGAGACCCTAACACACGACTCGACTGAAGAGCTGGTGGCCGCCTGGGAAAGGGCGGCCGCCGGAGCTTTGGACTGCGTCGTGCCTTTGTGGCCTCTGACCCAATGCCGATCTCAACTGGCTCCTTGGTTCTCTGAGGAGCTGAAAGAGATGAAGCGTCGGAAAAGACGCCTAGAGAGCATTTGGAGGACTAGTCAATCTGATTCCGACCGGACACAGGTGCGGTCTTATATCAAGACCTACCTAGTGGCGATAAAAGCGGCAAAGTCTAACCACTTTTCCGCTCTTATCGCATCTGCAGAGAACCGCCCAGCCGCCTTGTTTAGGGTGACCCACTCCCTTCTCCGGGGGGGAGTGCGGAAGATCCCTTGCAGGGTCGTGCTGAGGATTTTGTGCAATTCCTGCATGATAAAGTCGCTCGGATTCGGGATGGCTTAGACTCCGACTGGATGAATCCACGGGAGGAGACGAGGGCAGGTCTTGAGAATGTTATTTGGGAGGAGTTTGATCCTGTGACTCCCGAGGATGTGGACAGGGTCCTGGGTAAGATTAGTGCCGCCACGTGTTTATTGGACCCGTGTCCCTCCTGGTTGGTGCTGGCCTCCCGGGAGGTTACACGAGGCTGGCTCCAGGGGATTATAAGAGCTTCTTTGAGTGAGGGTGCCTTTCCTGCCACCTTGAAAGAGGTGGTAGTGAGGCCCCTCCTCAAGAAGCCTTCCCTGGACCCGGCTGAATTAGCCAACTATCGTCCAGTCTCCAACCTTCGTTTTGTGGCGAAGGTTGTTGAGAGCGTGGTGGCACGACAACTTCCCCGGCACCTGGATGAAGCTATCTATCTGGACCCGTACCAGTCGGGCTTCAGGCAGGGGTACAGCACAGAAACGGCATTGGTCGCGTTGGTGGATGATCTCTGGAGGGCTCGGGACAGGGGTTGCTCCTCTGTCCTAGTCCTATTAGACCGCTCAGCGGCTTTTGATACCATCGACCATGGTATCATGCTGCAGCGGTTGAGGGGGGTAGGAATAGGGGGCACCGTTCTGCGGTGGTTCTCCTCCTTCCTCTCCGACCGCTCGCAGTTTGTGTTGGCAGGGGGACAGAGGTCGACCTCGAGGCATCTCGCATGGGGAGTGCCGCAAGGGTCGGTCCTCTTGCCTCTCCTGTTCAACATTTATGTGAAGCCGCTGGGTGAGATCATCCGTGGTTTTGGGGTGAAGTGTCACCTGTATGCTGACGATACTCAGCTGTACATCTCCACCCCAGACCACCCCAACGATGCCCTTGATGTGATGTCCCGCTGCCTGGAGGCTGTGCGGGCCTGGATGGGGAGGAACAGGCTCAGACTCAACCCCTCCAAGACCGAGTGGCTGTGGCTTCCGGCGCCATAATATAGTCAGCAGGTGCCATCGCTGACTATTGGGGGTGAATCCTTGCCCCCCACAGAGAGGGCTCGCAATCTGGGTGTCCTCCTGGACGCACGGCTGTCTTTAGAAGAGCACATGACGGCCGTGGCCAGGGGGGCCTTTTATCAGGTTCGCCTGATTCGCCAGTTGCAGCCCTTTCTGGATCGGGACGCCTTGCGCACGGTCACTCACGCCCTTGTCACCTCCCGGTTGGACTATTGTAATGCTCTCTACATGGGGCTCCCCTTGAAGAGCACTCGGAGGCTCCAACTGGTCCAGAATGCGGCCGCGCGGGTGGTTATGGGTGCAACTGGTTGCGCCCACATGACACCCCTCCTGCGCGAGCTGCACTGGCTCCCAGTGGTCTTCCGGGTGCGATTCAAGGTGTTGGTTACCACCTTTAAAGCGCTCCATGGCATAGGACCCGGGTACCTTCGAGACCGACTTCTGCCACCAATAGCCTCCCACCGACCAGTCCGCTCCCACAGAGAGGGTCTCCTCAGGGTGCCATCGGCCAAGTTATGTCGGCTGGCGACACCCAGGGGGAGGGCCTTCTCTGTGGGAGCCCCAGCCCTGTGGAATGAACTGCTCCCGGAAATACGTAAGATCTCCGACCTCTGGGTGTTTCGCTGCGCTCTGAAGACCCTGTTGTTCCGCCAGGCCGGGCTATTAACATAACGTTTTAAATTGGGGTATTTTAAATTTCTGGGATTTTAATTGGAGCCTAATTATTTAATGATTTTAAATTTTAATTGTTGTTTTGTTTCTGTGTTTTTAAATAGGCTGTACACCGCACTGAGTCCTTCGGGAGAAGGGCGGTATAGAAATAAAATTATTATTATTATTATTATTATTATTATTATTATTATTATTATTATTATTATTATTATTATTATTATTATTATTATTATGGGTCCCGATGTTTTCTTTTCTGTGGGAATTCAGTCCAAATGTCTCTTTGAGTGTTTAATGTTGCCAACCCCTGCCCTAACTGTAACTATTGCTTACAGATTTTAGAAGTTCCATGAAAGGGAACCAGGAGAGGTTAATCTGTAAAAAAAAAATAACTAACCTGAGAATAATTAGCCTCAGGCTGGGAAAACCTTAATTTCTTATGTCTTCAGAGTTTCCAGTAATTCTTCCTTAAACCAATCTGACACATCCATAGATAAAGTTTTCACATTCAAAAGTACAGATAAGTTTATCCACACATATCTTGCCACGCATAGCTTTGTAAACTGTGACACCTACAGCAACATATATTTTTATATTCCACATGACCCCAGAACACTGCAACTGTCATAAATTTGAGTCAATTTATCATCACGTAACCTATACACTAATATCCTGCTGCACAGAATAAAATACTCTTGTCAATTGCTTTGTAAAGAAAGCAACAGTGGTGGATTGCTACTGATTCACCCTGGATTGGGGGAACCGGAAGCAGTGGGGGTGGGAGGCTCCGCCCACTCGCCCGGACTTCCGCATGCGCAGAAGCATCGCGCACAAAGGTGCGCATGCCCACAAGCGAACCGGTAGCGACAGGATTTGAATCCCATTACTGGAAAGCAAGACATACTAACTTCACAAAATTCCTACAGTCTACTAAGGAAGTTATCTAAAAAATATTAGATAAGGCAAGACAGGTTTCCAGTAATTGTTTTCAAAGTGTTTAATGAGAAATCTTTTTATGATAGCACTATACACTCTTAATTTTTTCAGAGTATCGACATCAGAGTAACTGGTCTATATCTTGCTGTGTTTCCTTTTTCCTCCTTTTTGAAGATTAGAATATCAGTTGGTCTTATCCAGTCATCTGCCAGTTCACCAGGATTTCGCAAACATAATTCATAAGGGTTTGGGGAAAGAAATCATGTAATGCTTTTGGTATTTTAGAATGCAATTTAATCTGGTCTTGAAGATTTAAACACATTGAAGAAATAAATGTTTTCACCCCATCTCAATCTTTCCCCGACATTTTGTTTTCAAAAAGTGCCTGATGGAACTCATGCACTACACATACACATATATTAGTTACATATATACATATATTATCCACAGAGATTGTTGATGTTATATCACTATTTATCTTTGTTATGTGCTTCAAAGCGTTGCCTAAGAGCATGCAATATGCCTCCTGGGATTTTCTGGTGTTTATCCCTTAAATCTTCTATTGCCCTTTGAGCCTGTTGGAGCAGTGGAGTGGCATGAGGTGGGATGGAATGGGGGAGAAAAAAGGAAAAAAAGGATTTAATTTAGATTTATGGTTCAGGAACTATTGCAAGAACATTCCAGAACTAAATATACAGTATATGGACTCTTTAACTGAACACACCACATATTTAAACATATATATAAAATTCTAACTTGCTCTTCATTGCAGTCATTAACATATATTTGAAAGCCAATGTTATCTTTGATTTTATCTTACGGCAAAGATTTTTTTTTGTCTCTTCCTACTCATGCTATACCATTCATAATCCGATAAATCACATTTTCCTATAAATCTGTAAATATATGGTATACAACCATCTGTCTCTTTTGCATACTGTCTGCAAAACAGTATGCAAAAGATCTACAGTCTATTGCATACTGTAACCAAGAGTAAATTCATATGAGTCAGAATAAGACCATGGTAAATGGAGTTGAACATTTCCAGCAATGTCTAGTTAAAAAAAATTCCTCCTTTGCATCATGAAAACACAAACTTTCATCCATTTCTCCTTCTTAGAAATGGCCCTGCAGAAGAGTTGGAATTCTGCAGTATGGCTGGAGATGTTGTTCAAGTCTTCTTCTACATTGTCTTATCCTGACCTAGGCTAAACTGTCTGCTGCACACAGCAGTATCATTAAAAAGCAGAATGCATGCTGATGCCTCTTATTTAATTTGCTCCTAACTGTGGTTTGTTGAATAAACCATAATTGGATGAATTCACCTTTTATTTGAAAATATAAACTTATTGGGTAAGAAGAGGTTGAGCCCTCTATGGTGAAGCTTTAGTGTGATATATATTTGATGGATATTTTCATTTATGCATGCTGTCATTTATTCTGTAGCTTGCATAAGTGCTGTTTAACCAGTAAGGGATGGATGGATGATAATCTTACATTGACACTTATGTATCAAACACTCAACAATATTTATGCACCTCTAATTAATGTATTTCAATAACTGTTTGCAAATAGTTATTATAGATCTTATAATTTCATAAAGAATGAAGTTTTAATTTGAATGGATATTTTCCCCTTACAATAGAAATACACTTACCTTTTCAGCTAATTTTTCAGGAGTTATATCTGGATCATATGGAATTGGTTTTCCAATATGGGTTATAAGTTTAACTGGAAACATTCCACACACTGGAAAGGGTAACCATCGGTTTCGCTCATATAACCATCTCATTGCTCCTGGGTACAAGTTTTAGAAAATCTCAGATATGCATATTAGCAGATCGCCAAGAGTTTCATATTTGACTTTGTTAGCAGCTTATATTTAAATGAAATAATTATTACCAGCACTGGAATCAACTAATGGAAAATGTTTGCAGTATACAGAAACAAGAAAATAAGCCATCATGTTTGGAGCCTTACAGTTTGCAAAATACAATTTAGATTAAAAAGTTATAAAAAAAATAGAATTAGGAGAAGCAAGCTAATCCTGACACATAAATAGACATACAAATACAATTAGCCTGACAGACAGCAGGCTGATAGATAAGTAGACAGATAAACAGACAAGACAGGCACACTTTCCAGGATAAATACCAATTCATTTACAGAATATGGATAACTTTGTTGAATTTCCATAATTTCTGGGTCATCCCTATGCCTTGTAATCCCATGACATGACATCACTTATGGGAAATGTATTAAATCAGTTTTTCTACCAAAGCTCTGGCGTACTGGAATATCTATGCATGTATCAGTGGTGGGTTGCCTCCGGTTCACATTGGTTCTATAGAACCGGTAGTAAAACCGGTGGGAGGCTCCGCCCACCGACCCCGACGTCATCTGAAGAGAGAGCATATACAGTTTTTTCTCATTTTAGGATAAAACTCATACGTACCACCTCTTAAACAGTTTTCCTAGCAATAAAATGAAAATAATCCCAAATTAATGTACCCCAATTAGATTTTTACTTTACTTAGAACTCAGATTTAGCTATTCTTGCTTGAATCATTCAAATTAAACATGGTAAGCAAAGATGCAGATGTATAAATTTATAATCTTAAATTAATAACATTCCCAAGAATACATAAAGTTTTACTTACTTATATTTACATATGTCATATATCCTTCTCTAATATTTTGTGTAAACAAAGGAATGATTGGCTAGAAGAAATAAAAGAAACAAATAATGAAATTCTTTTAGTTACAGTACATGAAAGGAATGAAATGTATTGTTTGGACATAAAATACGTCAATTAAAAGGTTATATTGATAAACTGGGACTTCCGGTTGGTGCAGCGTGATCCAGTCAGGGGAATAGTGGGGCTCTAATGAGCCCCGCAAAAACCCCGACTGTCGAGCCGCCGCCAACAGGTCTGCGGACCTACCCTGTCCTGTAGGGACAAGGGGAGAGAGAGGGACCCCTTGGACAGCTGAGAGGAACGGACGGGTTCCTCGGGGCCGGAGGAAGCCCTCTGAAGTCAGCGGCGGGGGAGCGGCAGCCATGGCGGCTGCGTCAAAGCTGGGGCCAACCGGGAAAGCATTGTGCTGAAGGAAGAAGGAAGGAAAAAAAAGTGTGAAAGAGCGAAGAGTTCGGAAGCCGGTTAAGCAAGATTCAACCCAGGCGGGAACAGCGTTTTAAATTTTGGATATTTACAAGTGAGTCCCTAGCCTTAATTAGCGGCTAAAGGCTATTGGGGCAAGAAGACCTAGCAAAATAATTTAGAGGAGGAAAGGACCCTTTAATGAATCATTGTGATTACTAACTCACTAGGAATGATCGTTGTTCGAAAGTTATAAAAATTTGAAAATCCCTTTTTTCTAAATGGCAATGGATTATTTCTGAAAAGAGAAAGAGGGAAGGAGCGATAAACAGGAATTTTTTAAAGCAAGGGGAAAAGACAAGCGGAACTTTCTAATGGACAAAATGGAGGATAGCTAAGACGAAGTGAAAGTGCAAATTGTGGATTGCAAGCAGCTGAAAGAGAAACTATGTGTCTTGCTATTTAAATTGGATTCTTTTGGAAACAACCAAGGAGCCTTGATTTTGGAGATATCCAATCTGTCTATTGGAGATTTTATTGATGAAAAGAAAGAAGAAATAAAATGGAACAATTTAAAACTGAATTAATAGGCATAGCAACAAAACAAGGGTGTGGCAACAAAAGAAGAGACGATGATATTATACAAAGAACTGATACTACAAAAGAAATAAACTTTATAGAATTTTTAACTCTGATAATAGGGAAATTGAAAAGGAGCTTTTCTTTAGACAGATTGGAAAAAGAAGAAATGGAATATAATGGGTACCAAGATAATAAAAATAATACACTCTGATTAAAATGGAAATGCAATGTTTAATGCCTATTTGAAATTTGAATACTGATAGGAGTCTTTATTTTCATTCCTTTTAAATTTGATTATATAAATATACATAAATTAATTTGGTTATGAAATAAGACTACAAATGATTGAATGAAAATTTGATTTCTTAAATGTTTTAATGCTTAAATGAAATTTTGAATTTCAACAAGAGTTATCCATAGATTTAATAGTTGGATTGATATGAGGTATTTTTCTCGCTTTTTTTTCTTTCTTCTTTTCTTTCTTTTGCTATTTTCTTTGCATTTTATTTTTATTTTCTCTCTTTTCTCCCTTTTTGTTTCCTTTCTTCCTTTATTACTTTTTACTTCCATTCCCTTTAAATTTGATTTTACAAATACACATATTTGGCCATGAAATAAGATTACAAATGATTGAATGGGAATATGATTTTTTAAATGTTTGAATGCTTAAATGAATTTTTGGGTTTTAAAATAAATATGAAGAGAGATGATTTTAAAGGAAATTTATAATCCAGGAGAAAATATGTGAGAAGATATCTGTTAAAATTTATATTGAGTAAAAAATTGTGGGAGAATGTGTTGAAAAAGCAATTTACGCAATATGTTGTGAATTAGTTAAAATAAAACAGCCAAAATAATAGATGTAGGCGTGGAGGAAAGCATGCTGGTAATACCAGCCAAATAAGAGAAGGAGATTTGGAGGAGAAGATGCTGGAAATCAGCCAAAAAAAAACCCATCCTGGAAATCAGCCAAATAATAGTGGGAGGTTTCGAGGAGATTATGCTGGAAATCAGCCAAAACACTATATGCTGGAAATCAGCCAACAACGGGTGGAGGTATGGAGGTGATTATACTGGAAATCAGCCAAAATAAAGCATGCTGGAAGTCAGCCAAACAAAAGCTGGATGTATGGAGGAGGATATGGATTTTGAGATAAATTTGTGTAATATATGTAATATGTAAATATGTAAAAATATGTAAAACTAAAGGTAAACTGATAAAGTTTAAGATTTAAAGATTTGATGAAGGGGTCTAGAGATTAAGAAATATGGATAGAACTTTGATTTATAAATTGAAATAAAAAATAGAGCTGTACTTAATCTGAAATTAAGATGCGTGGTGAAAATTGTAAGGTAAATAATCAGACCAAGAGGTTAGAATATTTTTTGTTTATGTTTTGATATTGATGTTAAAAGGCGTAATGAAGGGAGCTTGGAAAAGAACCAAAAATAATTGAATTTATAAATGGGCATAACAATGAATTAAGCTTGTACTTGGAAATTAAATTGGTGGTGATATAATAGAATGGTTCTGATCAAGATACTAGAATTTATGTTAAAAAATTCTTATGTTTTGATTTTTAAATTTAAAAGATGTAATGGAAAATTGTGAACGGACCTTTTTTTTAAAAAAAAAATTAAGCGATTGTACCTATCTATGACTGGATTGAGACTTCGCTCTTGAAAGAGATATATTTTATGTTTTATGTTGGAAAAAAAAATATTTTGGAAAAAAAAAGATTATATTGATAAACTAGTATGAATAATATATTGTATAATGTCAATGTATTTTTATGATGTCCTATCTGTTATTTTCAGCAGCGGCATTATTGTACTAAATGTAGTTTGATGTGTTATTGTACTAAATGTAGTTCAGCTACTGACATGATGAACTTCTTTCCTTAGTGCTGAAATTTCATGCTCGTGCATCCAAAAGATCCTGATTTATAAACTAATATTAAACTTCAGTTTTATTTTTCACATAACTAATATGCCAAAGAAAGACAAAGGCAAGAGTTGAATGAAAACATTGCAATTCTTTTTTTATTGAGTGTTTACTACCCTGTCCTATAACTTTGCCCATATTTGTTACAGATAAATTGACTCCTTCTGATCTGTTATTGGCATCTAGCATCCTTGGGCAAATGCTGAATTTCAGTGTTTTTCATAAGACAGGGATCATCATGTGAGCTCCATTCTGCAATTTTCCAACTGTCACTTGGTCTTTCATACTTCATTCTAGGCAAGGGAATAGTGTGACCACCTATTATTTAAGATTTTGGTGAGAAATAGATTATTCCTTCTCACAGTGGTAATTTGAGTGTTTGGCTGATTGTTGCCTTAGTCATGGCTTCAGCCATGAAGAATATATATGTGCATGTGCTCTCATTTTTATATATCTTCATAAATCAAGGTAGAACTACGCCGCCTTCGGTCTGACCTAAGCGTAGTACACAAAATTATCTGCTACAAGTGTCATGTTTACATTTCACTCTTAAAACAAAACTTTGAAGATTGATTACTGGAGCACAGATGTGTACTTTATCTTTTTTTTATATAAATTTTTAAATATTTTTATTAATAATAAAAAAAACAAACCAACATAAATACATTAAACCAACATACAAAATGGACAAACATCAATTCAGTCCAATGACTGACTTTTAGAAGTTACTAAAACGGTGGGTTATTTTCATATTTCTATTTGTATCTGTATCTACATTCACATATTTACATGGTTATATATGTATATATATAATTGACTCCTTGTTTACTTCTGTGCATTTCTATTGAATAGTCGAAAATTATCTTTATATTCCTATTTTTGCCTCCAGCCAGCTGTACCATCTTTGCCATACTAAATAGTAATCAGTATCGTCTTTCTCTTGTATTTCTTTTGTGAGCTTATCCAATTCTGCACATTCTGTAATTTTAGCTATTATTTTGTCCTCTGTGGGTAACTGTTCAGATTTCCATTGTTGGGCAAAGAGTATACGTGCTGCTGTGAGGATATGGATGATCAGATATTTTATTTCTTTGGTATATTGTGCTGTGATTATTCCCAATAAAAAGATTTCTGGCCTCATTTCCAGTTTTTGTTTTGTGATTTCTTCAATCGTTATTTTAATTTGTTGCCAGTATTGTTTTGCCCTTCGGCATGACCACCAGAGATGATAATATGTCCCTTTCTGTGATTTACATTTCCAGCACATTGGAGATGTATTTGGGAACATCGTGGCCAGGCGCGCCGGTGGGAGGTGCCATCGGTAGAACATTTTGTAAAGGTTTTCCTTATAGGGTATAGACAATGTCATCTTATAATTTATCTTCCACAAATTTTCCCACTTATCCAGTTCAATAGTATATCCTATATTTTTGGCCCATGTTATCATATTCTCTTTGACGACCTTCTCTTCTAATTTGTATTTTAGTAGGTACTTATAAATTTTGGTAATCATTTTCTCATCTGTACTTTGTAATATTTTATCCAGTTCATTTGGTTCATTTTGGAATCCGAATTGTGCCCGATCAGTTTTGTATCTTGATTCTATTTGCATGTATGGCCACCAATCAATGTCTATACCCTGATTTTGTAATTCTTGTCTTGTTTGTAATTCTCCTTCACTGTTCAGTAGTTCTTTATAACTCCTCATTTTCTCTATATCCATGGCGTTGGGATATATTAGTGCTTCCATTGTTGATAACCATCGTGGAATTTTAGTATAGTGCTTTCTAATCTCTTGCCATGTTTTGTACAGTGATTCTCTGATAATATGTTGCTGGAAATATCCATGGTGCTTGTCCTTTCTCTCCCACAAAAAGGCATGCCATCCGCGTTGTAATTCAAAGCCCTCTAGTAGTAGCATTCTTTTATTCTTGAGATCTATTGTCAGGTATGCTTCCTTCAATATCCAGGAAAGGAAAACCCAAACTCAATCATTTTGAAGAGATTAGTAGATTGTCTTCTCTAATTGTTATTGCTTTAGCAGTAAGCCAGATTCCTAAATACTTTATTCTCTTTACAATTTGTATTCCTAATTTATCTTCTAGTTTTGTCTCCTGTACCTTTGTCAAATTCTTTGTTAATGCTTTAGTTTTTTGTTTGTTAATTTTAAGCCCTGCAACTCTTCCATATTCCTCTATCTTTGCTAAAAGTTTGGTTCCTGTTATTTCCGGTTGCTCCATTATAAATACCACATCGTCAGCGAAGGCTTGCAATTTGTACTCTTCTTTCCGTGTTCTCAAACCTTTTATTTCCGCATCTTTCCTAACTTCATTTAGTAATATTTCCAATGAAATTATGAACAGTAGTGGGGATAAAGGGCAACCCTGTCTCATACCCTTTTGTATATCCAGATTTTCAGTCATATCTCCATTAATCATAATTTTGGCCGTTTGGAAGGAGTATACTTTTCTAATCATATGTAAAAATTTGACACCGAAATCCATGGCTTCTAGTTGCAATATGAGGAAATTCCAATTTAGATTGTCAAATGCCTTTTGTGCATCTAAAAAGATTAAGGCTACTTGTTTGTCAACTCTTTTCTTGTAATATTCCAGGACGTTGCTAATTGTTCTTATGTTGTTTTTGCTCTGTCTTCTTGGGACAAAACCATTCTGATCTGTATGTATGTATTTATAATTAATTATTTTCAGTCTTTGTGTTATAACCAACCACATTTGTAGTCTACATTGAGCAATGAGATCGGCCTATAATTTTTAACTTGTGTGGGGTCTGTATCTTCTTTGGGGATGAGTGTAATAATGGTTTCGGTCCAGGATTTGGGAATTTCTGCTTCTAATAATGCATCATTGAGAACTTGGAGTAACAATTCATCCATTGCATTTTGACAGTTTTTGTAAAACTCTGTTGGTATTCCGTCCGGCCCTGGAACCTTGTTATTTTTCTGCTTTTTCCTTGCTTCCACCAGCTCGGACATCGTAATTGGTCTATTTAATGCTTCTCTAATTTTGTACTCCTCTAATTTTGTAATGTTTGTTTTTCATAATTATTCCTTAATGTCTTCATCCCGGATCTCTTCTTTCTTGTAGAGACTTTGAAAAAAATCTTTGACTATACATTTTTTATCTAGATTGGTATGGTATATTTGTCCTTTTTCGTCCTGCAATTGAAATATTGTTCTCCTTTCTTTTTCT